CTATCATCGAACCATCGATGAACTAGTCGCATTTCTATATTGAAGCAGCCACGTGAGGAGGTGTAGACTACCTCAGATGGCATCCTAGAAATGCTAAGAACCAACAGTTTCACACATGGGGAAGGGTTCGAACCCGTGAATAAGTGTCTGATATAGAATGAAGCAGTAAGAAGCTTAATTCTTCAGGTGAAATACTAATTTTCATTCTGAACGATAAGACCTCTTCTTTTTACTGAAGCAAAACCTCCAACTAACAAGGTTACAAAAACAGTTTTAATTACCTTAGAATTACGTACAAAAAAACAAAAAGAAATAGCAATGTTTATTTTTCTTTGCTGAGTGATTACTAACAGTGGGGGATCCAGAGCATGAGCACTCCGTCATAAAAAAAGCGTCATGCCGGCTGGCAAAGATCTTTTAAAAATACCTCTATTCAATTCATGACTGTTCCCACAATTATGAGTACCAATTGTCGCTCTCCGCCGGCTACAATTAACTGTCTTCAATCGCTTGTGTCTTCCATTATGTATCGTAATACTGGGATTATATCACTTCGAGAAACATGGTTACATGATCTATATGATGAAAATCTAGTATATCTAAATGATTTCAAATTGTTCAGACAAGATCGGTGTAATTCCAGGAAGAAACGCAGTGGCGGTGTCGCCATCTTCATCAATTCACAATGGTGTATACCTAATAATATATGTTTCAAATTCTCTAGTGACAATATTGACTGTCTCACCGTTAAGTGTTGACCTAAACATTTGTCAAAATACAACTACATTTACATCCCGAACGTTTATATTGCTCCTGGATGCAATTCCACAGAATTATCTTTATTTGTGGATGAATTTACCTCCCTTGCTGCCACCTCCTTCGGAAATTCCTTGTCTATAGTTACTGGAGATTTCAATTCTAGTGATCCCAGCTTCCTAATTTCACTTGGACATGATAACATTGTCAACTTCCCGACTAGAATGGATAACCTTCTTGATCTTGTGTTTACAAATGACGCAGGAATATTTGAAGCTCGAAAAAGAGCCCCACTACTAAATTCAGATCACTGTATCATAAGAATATTGCCCAAAGTATATGGAAAGCAGCACAAAAGGGTCTTCTCACAACTTGGAAAGAAAACACAACATAGATGTTATTCCCATGACAACATACTGAATCTAAGGTCCATGTTAAAAGACACTAACTGGGATTTATTTACTGAACAAGCTCTTGATAACACAATTACCAACATAACACATTATCTTAACTTCTGTCTTAATGTTTGTTGTCCAAAAGAGACAGCCTTCTTAAAATTCGATCGCTTCTCCTCTTCTCAACTCAAAAAGCTCCGCCGTGAAAAATAAAGGTTGTTCGAAATGAAAAACAAATCTGGTGTTAAAAGAATGAACACTGATTAAGCTTGAATTACAAAGATTGAATGCTCTCTATAACCAGAAGTTTCTTTCATGTAAATCCCCATCTAATATGTGGAAGTTATTAAAGGAAATCACAGGTGGTAAGCAAATGATTGTTACGAAGGTAACTGAGTCTTAGAACGATGAGTGATGCTTGAATCTTGAAAAGACGAATGAACCAAGAATTTAGGCTTTATTCATTTTACAATGAAGCCGGAATGGCTTAAACATATAAAGGGAAAAAAGAGTGTTAATAGCGGTAGAGATATGAATATGATTAGATACGTATTATAAGAAAAGTTCACAACATTCACTGCGGCTTGAAAAGGAATGAGCCATTATGTCACGCTTCTCTGGTACGCAAATTGTAAGGCCGTACACGTTGTTGTTTTTCCAAAAGAATACGCCCGTTGTTCGTTTCAGTTGTATTTTCTTCACGAAGAATATTAGGATCAGTGGTCGCATCCCCATTTACTTGTTGCTCAGGAATTGCGTCGCCCTCCGGTATTGAATTTTCAACTTGATCTATATCTTCGCCTTTGGGTGCCAGATGATGAAGAGCAACTGTATCTTCACGTCCATTACCGAAGCGAACGTGAGCGAATTGCGGGTTACAATTCAATAGCTCCACCTCTTCAACCAGGGGATCGAATTTGGACTGACGAACACTCCGCCGGAGAAGTACTGGTCCTGGTACAGTGAGCCAAGTAGGAAGAGTTGTCCCAGATGTCGATCTTCGGTTATAGGTAAACAGTCGTTCGTGTGGCGTGGCGTTCGTTGCAGTACAGAGCAAAGATCTGATGGAATGCAAGGCGTCGAGTAGAACAGACTCCCATTGTGCCGTTGGTAGGCCCCGTGATCTTAATGCTAGAGTGATGGCACGCCAAAGTGTTCCATTGAGGCGCTCGACCTGCCCATTGGCTTGAGGATTGTATGAGGTAGTACGACTGGTTGCTACGCCTTTCTCCAGAAGAAATGCCCGTAATTCGGTAGACATGAAAGCAGCGCCTCTGTCGGTATGTATGTAAGAAGGCATACCGAAAATCGAAAACAGTTGGCAAAGGCAATTCATTACCGTTTGAGACGACATGTCGGGGCAGGCGAATGCAAAGGGGAATCGAGAATATTCATCGATCAGCGTGAGCAGATAGTGATTGCGGCTAGCTGACGGTAGAGGTCCTTTAAAGTCGATGCTTAACCTTTCAAAAGGTTGGGTTGCTTTTATGAGTTTGAAATTAGAGGGATTGTAAAATTGAGGCTTTAACTCACAGCATGTCACGCATTTACTGGTTACATTGCGCACCTCGTCAAGGGAGAATGGAAGGTTTCTCGAGCGTACAAAATGCATCATTCGGACAACTCCAGGATGGCACATAGAGTCATGGAGAAATTTCAAGTCGCACACTGACTGCAAGGAACCGCAGAAACTACGGGAAAATGTATCAGCAGCTTGATTATCCCTTCCAGGACGATAAATGATGTCATATTGATAAGGGGATAGCTCAATTCTCCAACGCATTATTTTATCGTTCTTGATTTTGCCTTTATGAATCTTGTCAAACATGAATGCTACTGAACGTTGATCAGTGACAAGTTTGAAGTGATTTCCGAGAAGGTAATGCTTCCACTTACGAATTGCTTCAACCACGGCATAGGCTTCTTTCTCAACCGATGAATGATGTTTCTCACTTCGAGAGAGGCTTCGAGAAAAGAAGGCGACAGGTTTACCATTCTGGTTTAATGTAGCTGCAATTGAGACATCTGAAGCATCTGTTTCAACAACAAGGGGTGCTTTCGGATCAACTACCACAACGACTGCACGTTCTAAGTCGTCTTTCAGTTTGTCAAAAGCATTTCGAGTTTCGATATCAAGAGGGAAAATCCGATTATTTACCAATGGGTGGATTTTATCTGAGAAGCGAGGGATCCACTGTGAATAATAAGCAAATAATCCAACGGCCCGTTGTTGAGATTTGATATCTGTGGGTGGTTCTAGATCACGAAGAGGTTTTAGCCGATCGGGATCTGGTTTAATAACCCCCTTTGAAACTTCATAACCGAGTAATTGTATGCTTCTGCTTGAGATCACACTTTTGGAATCATTAAGGGTTATTCCATAATTGCGTGCTGCTACCATAAACTTGTTTAGATTTTTGTCGTGTTCCTCCTGAGTTTTGCCGCAGATAGTGACATTGTCAATGTAGGCAAACGTGCTTGTGAGTTGTTCTTTACTGATCAATTCATCGATAATGCGTTGAAAACAAGCTACGCCATTGGTAACACCAAAAGGAATTCGGCAAAATTGGTAAAGTTTCCCACAAGCCTCGAAAGCAGTATATGGTTTATCTTCGTTCCTTAGGGCAATTTGATGATAAGCATTCTTCAGATCAAGAGTGCTGAATATGTCATATTGTGCGATTTTTTCTATCATTTCGTCAATCCTAGGTAATGGGTAAGCATCCAGAAAAGTGAATCGATTGATTGTCTGACTATAATCAACTACCATCCTCTTTTTATGGCGTTCGTTTGACGTAACAAGAACTTGAGCTCGCCAAGGAGAATTAGAAGGTTCAATAACACCTTCTTGCAGTAACCGGTTGACTTCGGTGGAAATAAAACTTTCATCTTCACGAGAATAACGCCGGGATTTTATCGCGATCGGTTTACAGTCTTTTGAAAGATTTTCAAACAGAGTAGGCAGGTCGACGCGAACACAAGGTAGACCACAGAGAGAAAAAGGCGGCTTTGATCCCCCAAAAGGAATCTCAATGTGTTTGTGAAGTTTTAAAAAATCATGTCCAAGAAGGACGTCTGCACATAAATTATGAAGAATGGAAAATTTGAATAGATCATAAGTGTGGTTTTTATAGCAGATGGATAGAAAACAATGTCCTTCAGTATGACTAGTAAGATTCGTACTCGCCATTGTGATTCTGTTTCGAGACTTATGGACTTTCCAGTTATACTTACGAACAACTGAGGAAGAGATGTAGCTCTCACTGCTTCCGGTATCCACTAGAGCTTGCATTGATTTCCCATTGACAGTAAGCTGCGTAACAGCATCAGTGAGACTTTGAGGTGCTGAAGCCACAACGAGAGATGAAATTATAGAGTTAACTGAAGATGGACCTTTTTTCGTAGATGGCGCAGACCTGCAAACCTTCTGAAAATGTCCTTGCTTGCCACAAGCTTTGCAAACTGCATCACGGGCGGGGCATTTGGAACGAGGATGTCTACGATTACCACAGAAAAAGCATTTGGATTCAACGGCAGCAATGGTTGTTTCATTGACGAAGAGTGTGGAATCTGATGAATGAGGTACATCATGTAAAGAAATGGACGCGCAAGGTGTAACAGGATTGTTGTATGACTGCAACTGTTGATGTGCCATCTCTAGAAGTAAGTCGTATTCACTTCCTTCTTGCAGCGAACCGGAGTTCCTCACGAAAGTGAAGGGGCAGAAGTGAACGTCTGACGCTTATATCCGGACCGGTGGATATGGTGGTCTACCTAGGGAGCTACAAAGACCCAATTCCAAACCTGCGGTGTGTACATGGGCTCCAGAATCCGATTGGATGGTAAGGTGTATGAACGTGTTTTGGTTATGGAAAACCATGGGAACCTACCGCCTGATATTGCTTTACTACATTATAGATCAGGCTACACAATTCAAAGCTCGGAAAGTGGTCCTTTAATACGACTATCTGCTTCGGTCTGATCATCCGATGAGTATCCTAGTCCTCGCATAAATTATGAAAATCGAAAATAGCACACATCATTTCAAACGCCAAAACTTTATTCATCTACCATTCTATTAAATAACACCATGTAAACCAGCTTAAGACATCTTTGAAGCATCAACATAGACATAGAACATTTCGGTTCAATGATTCAACCGAAAGAACAAAATCAACTTAAACAAAGATGTTTATTTTTATCTTATTAACTTGAATTAAATCAATAAATGAATAAATATTACAACAGTAGTCTTAACAAAAAAATAAATATACTTTACGGTCAAGAAAAACAAAATTAATAATAACAAGTAAGGAATAAACTGCGATTGTCATCAACATCATCACTGGGAGTATACAAAGCACCAAAAAACAAAACGAAAGCAATTATTTACTTGTCAAAAGTCAACATAATAGGCAATGCTTAACTTAGTATCCGGCAAATAAACTGCATAAAGGAAAGACGGAGAGAGATAGACAGAAAGAAGGAGAGAATAGGAGCAACCCAGGCAAATAAAAGCAGGTTTGTTTGACAAGAAAGTTAACAAATACACACATCTGTGTATATACGTATGTACATATATTACCTATACACCGGTGTGATATAGTATACAACCAATACTAAACTGAATTAAAGTTTATTTTTTAACATTTTCAGCAATCTTTAAACCTTCATTAATTACACATGATGACCATGAAGTATTATCCGCCTTTATTAAAATAATCTCGACAGCATCTTCGCGTACAATTAACTGTGATCGTTTATAATCTAATACACCGGGTAATTGATGAATATGCAGGGAATAATTTTGATCTTTTAATGCCTGTTGACCATGAAATTCAAATAGAAAACCGTTATCGTGTAAATCGAATACAATTTCACCATTAGTTGGCTTTTTATAAAGTTTTGGAATTAGCTTTTTTTGAAATTCTAGTACAGTTGATGATTTTAAACCTTGAATTTGAATTGTAACACGTAGTTTATTACTGCCAAGATTTGTATCCAGCACATAATTTGGTGTTGTTAAGATACCGCTAGCATCACCTCGACTTGTATAAGCCATATACAATTGACAACGGTTACAATTTAATCAGCTGTTTGTATGATAAGGGAAAAGAAAGTGAGACAAATAAAGATATTAAAACGTAATCGTTGGTCTTAGAAAGTATACCACTTTCATTCGCAATGTCCAATTTCTACAGAGAGATAAATACCTCTTTGTCGATGCACAATGAGTTAGAAACGAAATAAGCCAACTATTTATGGACGATTTAGGCTGTATGAATAAGTTTCAGGTCCCAGTGACTTAAGGTATACGAGCTCGCCTTTAACCACAAGGCCCTGGGTTCAAACCCCGATGGGCGCGTACTGCAAAGAGTTCCACACTACGACAAAAGAGTTGTCCAGTACTTGCAGGTTTGCGTTGGTGGCATAGCGGTTAGGACGCTCGCCGAACATGCACATGGTCCGGGGTTCAATTCCCGGCCGACGCACTCCTTTAACCTTGCTAAGCCAGAAATAATGCTGGTAAAGAGGAAAGGTTAGACATGAGGCTAGTAACCCCATCCTGTAAAGTAAACACTGCTACAGAAACTTCAAGCCACTAGCTTGAAGCCCTATGTTTCACTGGGGAACGTGGAAAAAAAAGTTCCAGCTTGATAGTATGCAAAGTGTGTGACAAATGGAAAAACAAACCGAAACAACTTAAGAATTCTGGCTCATACTGCAATACAAATTAATTTCACAATGGAGAAACTAGAAGGAATGAAGACTTAACTCACTGGCGGACTGACTGGTTTCAACGTAGAACTTTGCACAGATGTACAGCAGTTCTACTTGCCACACTCTCTTCATGTAGCACACACAGCAAGAGAAGAGAGTAGAAAGAGATTCAATACACAGATAATAAAAATATGAGTCACTCAATGGATTCCGGGACCCTGCCAAGGGAGTGGAAAAGAGCCATCCTTTCTCCAATCTTCAAGGGTGGGGACAGGCAAAACGCTGCTAGCTATAGACCAGTAGCTCTACTCCCAGTGGTATCAAAAGTACTGGAAAGTATTATTGACGACCACATCAGGGAATATTTCGATAGGACTAATATACTGCATGAAGCCCAACATGGTTTCAGAAAAGGCAGATCCTGCGTCACTAACCTACTGTCAGCTTGGGACGACTGGACATCATGCTGGGACTTGAACGTACCAGTCCATGTGGTCTTCCTAGACTTTGAGAAGGCATTTGACACCGTTCACCATGACCTTCTCCTACATAAAATAAGACAGGCAGGCATAGGTGAGCCACTTCTGTCATGGTTGAAGGACTACCTAGCCGACAGGCAATTTTGCACTAAGGTTAACCGAGTCCGATCATCTTGGCACAGATCGTCATCAGGAGTGTCGCAGGGTTCTATCCTAGGACCACTGATGTTTTTGATTTTCATCAATGATCTACCACGCCGTCTGAGCTGCCCGACTCTCCTGTACGCTGACGACGTAAAAATATGGAGAGCAATAAAGCGTCCGGAGGACTCAGATAGGCTACAGGAAGACCTAAACCTTCTGGAAGACTGGGCGGTGGCCAGTGGCATGACTTTCAACTTGAAAAAGTGCAAAGTAGTGAAGTTCCTCACCTGTAGACTGCAGAATGCAAGTTACACCCTGTGCAATGAAAGCTTGTCCTGCACAACGTCGGAACGCGACTTAGGTCTAGTTCTAACGGAAAAAATGGACACAAGCGTAAATTACACAGGGGATGTAGCGAGGGCATATGCGGTCATACACTTTACGCATAGACAGTTAGGTGCACTCACTCCTGAGCTCTTTCTAATGTTGTACAAAACATACGTCTGGCCACACCTTGAGGTGCATAATATTATTGCACCCCAATGCTGAGAAGAGATGCCAACCTCTTGGAAAGAGTCCAACGATCGGCAACAAAAGGAGTGGTTGGTCTCCGAAACAAACCATATGATGAAAGGCTGAAGAAATTAGGCCTGTTCACACTTAGTTACCGTCGGCTTAGGGGGGATTTGATTACTGCCTACAAAATAACAAATGACCAGAATCACCCAAACAAAGGTGTTCTGCCATTGAGTAGGTATAGGCTTCCACGTGGAAATCCCAGAAGGATAGCTCACCAGAGGGCGAGGACCCGGGTGCGCTCCCACCTCTTTTCACTGCGGGTTTGCCGTCCCTGGAATTCCTTACCGGCAGATGTAGCTATGGCACCGTCTTTGGACGCCTTTAAGCGAAGGCTGGACAACCATGCAGCGATACAAGGACTGCATCCAAATGGCCTATCTCCTTAAAATCGCATTTACCAATCAGGGTAGATAATTAAACTCGTCATTTTACTTCTTTACATTCTCTCCCGTCTTACTCTCCTGACAACTTATTAATATTATAATTACTATTATTATTATTATTATTATTATTACTATTACTGATATATATATTATTCTTCAAACTTCATGAGCTGACTGTTGTTACGTTTCCTATTTTCGTTTCTGTCTCTTAGTCTGAATAACTTCACTAATTATATCTATTATTATTATTACTATTATTATTATTATTACTATCTCTTTTCTCTTGTCGACGATACCGAAGGACTAACTGGCGAAAGGATCAACTCCAATCACAGTAGTAACAGTCTTAACATACCTCATACTACAAACCACATATAATTAATCCCAGCACTACTCCCTTTGGAGTCAACCAAAGCTACGACAGTCGAGTGGCGGGACAAGCTACGCAGAAGTTTACCGAAGATCAAGAACCTATACCTCACAATCAAGAAGCGAGCACAAAGAAATCAAATTGGTTTATACTAGCTCGTAGAAACGATATTGGATATTGGAAAAAAGAATAGTAATACGGAAGAACAGTAAAATGTTAATGGATTTTATTAATCACAAGGAGTGGATGCATCTGCGCTAGATGCTGAAAACGATTTTGAGCCATATCACCAATTACCTTTAACTATCTTTGCTTTTCAACATCCAGAGGACCCTAACCAGATACCAGTCTACACCTTGTTATGTGGCTCAAACTAACTATTGTGGATTTCATTGACTAATGAAGCCATGTTTTGGTTTGACCACCACTGGCTCTTCTCTAACCTGATCCATCCTATGCCAGCTAACATTGTCCGACGAAGAAGACGATGGCTAGGTAAAAGTAACACATGTCCTTACCATCTCAGTCGATGTAACTTCACAATCTCGTCGAGTGATACTCCCTTCTCCTTACCTAGCATTTGACTGACGCCTAACCTCAATATTGCTTACCGTATTTTACCACCTAACACGAGAGGTAGAGTACAGGCACCTATAATCACAGACAGCTAGCCAACCTTTTCATGTCTTCTACTCTCAATGGTCATGTCTCACAGCCATAAAGGAATTGCTGAGCAGTACACACGCCCTTTGGTCGATATCCAGATATCACGTCTACTCCAGAGACGGCGTAAACTGGCATAGGCTGGACGGGCCTTGTGTATTCGTTCTGAGATTTCGTCAGCGATCAGTCCGATGGCGCTAGCTGATGCAACTATCCAAATAAGTGAAGCGGTCAACGTGCTTTACCACTTCACTCCCTACTTCTAAGTTAGAAATTAATGTAGTCCAGTCTTGTAGCATCATCTTACATCTGACGGGAGCAAATCGCGTGCCAAACATACTAAGACTCCTTTTACTTTCAAGTCTTCCACCTAACCTATTCTCTCTTTACTTTCCCATCAGGTTGGAACACCTCAGAGGACAAAGTAGGAGTTCAAAAGACAAGGAGAAACCATATTGCTATGCAGTACCGGTTCTCACACCGTCATAAACTCCTGTAATCAGCTCCAAGAAGTGATACCTGCAACCTAAACTGATTCATTCAAGAAGTGGAAATTTACTCAAACAAAGTATAATTATATTTCAATAGTTTACGCGCAGTGATAAGTTTTGTTATTGGTAATATTTCGAGCAAAATTAATATAAAAGGATCAAGCCTTCTATCCTCAACCGATATATCTGAAAATCTGGAATCTGTATGATTAAACAGACAACCAAAAATGTTTTGGGACCTATTTAATAGTCAAACCCCCAAATGTAAATACATTTCTGTGCATTTATTGGACATTATAAATATATTAAGGTGCTTATCTCATTATAATGCAAGTTTAATCCAATCATATTCATCTAAAGAAGAAAGTCGACTTGCTTAATTAAGTAATCACTGAATAAAATGTTTGATGTCGCACACAATCACTGTATATTTTAAGCAATCTCATCGTACTTTGAGAAAACTTATATTTCTTAATATTCACTAATATTTCCCATCAAAGATATCTCAAGATACGCAAATAGGTGAAAATAATTACGATATCCGCTTACCTTGGCGCCGATTTTATACAGTCCGCTTATAAGGAAGGTCGACCCATTATACAATGCCCAATGTACTTGTTATGAGCTTATGCTAGCATGCTGATTTGTGACCCTTTTTTCAAGATACTAAGGAACAATTCTAAAGGTTTGTGGTTTATTGTGTGTCATCAAACTTTTAAAATACATCTGGAGAAATTTGTCTAAATTATAGCTCAGTCTATTATTGATATAAGTGTTCCAATATCCAATATCGTTTCTACGAGCTAGTATAAACCAATTTGATTTCTTTGTGCTCGCTTCTTGATTGTGAGGTATAGGTTCTTGATCTTCGGTAAACTTCTGCGTAGCTTGTCCCGCCACTCGACTGTCGTAGCTTTGGTTGACTCCAAAGGGAGTAGTGCTGGGATTAATTATATGTGGTTTGTAGTATGAGGTATGTTAAGACTGTTACTACTGTGATTGGAGTTGATCCTTTCGCCAGTTAGTCCTTCGGTATTGTCGACAAGAGAAAAGAGATAGTAATAATAATAATAATAGTAATAATAATAATAGATATAATTAGTGAAGCTATTCAGACTAAGAGACAGAAACGAAAATAGGAAACGTAACAACAGTCAGCTCATGAAGTTTGAAGAATAATATATATATCAGTAATAGTATAATAATAATAATAATAATAATAGTAATTATAA